TGGAACATTTTCACACGCCGCTTGACTCACTGTACTGCGTGTGGGGGACGACACGGAGCAAACGAGCTTGGAAAAACCTCCAAGTATCCTGAAATATACTGTCAAACGATCAATTAAGGGGATAGTTCACCCAAAAATGATAGTTTGCTGTTAATTTACTCACTCTCAGATAGGGCTGGGTATCGTTCAAAATTTTTCGATATCGATACCGATACCGATACCTTGACTTCGATACCGGTTCCTGAACGATACTTTTTTCGATACCAATTTTATGAAATCAATTTTAACAAGATTACATTATCTAAAAAAAAAACTTTGGTTTTATTTTTCAGCTTGTTGATGTTTATACAGACTCAAAGACTCATCTCCTGAGCCACTGCACAAAGGAACAAAATGTAACCAACACAACAAATCAGTGCAAAATAGTTTTAATAAAGCTCAAATAGTCTTCAGTTTACACATCTGTTAGGCTACATTTACACTAGTTAGTGTTCGTTTTAAAACGCATAGCTCAGACAGAATCATAGTATCGAACTCGATACCCAGCCCTACTCTCAGACCATCCAAGATTTTTTCTTGAGTGGAACAGTAAATATGTTTTTAGCTGAAACGGTGGTTCTTGGTGATTCATAAAATGCAAGTCAATGGGTGCCAGAACTTTGAGAGTCAAAAAATCATATCAGGCAACACAAAATTAATACCCGTGGCTCCTGACAATATATTGAGATCTTATGAAGCGAAACAATCGGTCTGTGCAAGAAACGGAGCATTATTTACAACATTATTACCTGTAATCCAGAGCCTCAGGCAAACGGTCCGGAGCGATGTCTGGTTCACGAATGAATCATTCTTTTGAACTGGTTCTTTTTAGTGAACTGGATGAACCAGTTCATCAAATCGGACTGAAGCGTCTGAAACAGTTCGCGGCTCGAGCAGCACAGATCTACAAGTTACTCAATCAAAACTCACAGACGCCTGACAGTTACTCTGACTCGAAATGAGCCAAAATATCGGCGTATCTGATCCTGTGATGAATGAATCATTCAGCGCTCCAGTTCCTCCAACACTTACTGAACTGAAGAAACAGTTCGACTCGAACGAAGACTGATGAGCTGCTGATATATGCGCATGCGTGAACTGAACTGAACACTTAAATGAAGCAGTGAAATGAACGTTTTTATGGTTTCTCATCATGGTTTATGTAAAAAGGTGAGCTGATGAAGACTGGTTTATTCACTTTATATCCTTTAGACATGTAAAACATCCACGTTTCACATCATTATTGGATGCTTTAATAATATGATTGTGTATACGTTTTGTCATTGCATGATTATGTAGACAAACTAGTGAATTGAACCAGTTCAATTAATCAAACTATCCGAAAGAACCAGTTCGTTGAAAATAATCAGATTTCCCCGTTTGCATAGGCTCTGGATTACAGGTAATAATGTTGTAAATAATGTTCAGTTTCTTGCACAGACTGATCATTTCGCTCCATAAGACCTCAATATATCATCAGATGCCAGGGGTATTAATTTTGTGTTGCCTGTATTAGAGGTCGACCGATTGATCCGCCGGCCGATTAATCGGGCCGATTTTTGGCATTATTTAATCTGCCGATTGTTCTGCAAAACAGACTGTTTCGAAAGCGTAATTACGTTTTACTCTACTACAATTGATGCCGACCATGCTTATCATATTCATAAGTGCAACAAGTCATTTGCATGTGAAAGAAGAAACATGCAATTCAGACGAAACTTCTGGGCTGGCTAAATCGTGCACGTTAACTTTCTTCATGAAATGTGTCTGTGGGTCCGACAATAGCCTCCACGATTTCATCGCTCGTGGTCAGTGCACTCTTAAGCAGTTATGAGCAGCAGGCTGTGTAATATGTGTGAACTCTTTTATTTCTGACTCATAGCAGTGTCCAGTGTTTCCCATACATTGAGTTATTTGTGGCGGCTCGTCGTTTCTCATCATGGTTTATGTAAAAAGGTGAGCTGATGAAGACTGGTTTATTCACTTTATATGCTTTAGACATGTAAAACATCCACGTTTCACATCATTATTGGATGCTTTAATAATATGATTGTGTATACGTTTCGTCATTGCATGATTATGTAGACGAACTAGTGAATTGAACCAGTTCAATTAATCAAACTATCCGAAAGAACCAGTTCGTTGAAAAGAATCAGATTTCCCCGTTTGCATAGGCTCTGGATTACAGGTAATAATGTTGTAAATAATGTTCAGTTTCTTGCACAGACTGATCATTTCGCTCCATAAGACCTCAATATATCATCAGATGCCAGGGGTATTAATTTTGTGTTGCCTGTATTAGAGGTCGACCGATTGATCCGCCGGCCGATTAATCGGGCCGATTTTTGGCATTATTTAATCTGCCGATTGTTCTGCAAAACAGACTGTTTCGAAAGCGTAATTACGTTTTACTCTACTACAATTGATGCCGACCATGCTTATCATATTCATAAGTGCAACAAGTCATTTGCATGTGGAAGTAGAAACACGTGCAATTCAGACGAAACTTCTGGGCTGGCTAAATCGTGCACGTTAACTTTCTTCATGAAATGTGTCTGTGGGACCGACAATAGCCTCCACGATTTCATCGCTCGTGGTCAGTGCACTCTTAAGCAGTTATGAGCAGCAGGCTGTGTAATATGTGTGAAATCTTTTATTTTTGTTATCACTATGGCCATTTGACTTAT